ACTGTTGACATCTGTTAAACTCACAGAACTCTACACTCTTTTGGGTGAATTTTACTGTACATGAAATATACCTTACTTTAAAAACATTTAAACATTAGAAGTCATCAATGACTTAATTTTAAGTTACCAACAATACCCGTTCAGTCTCCTACAGTTAGCAGAATTGGTTTAATCTACTCATATAGACATTTTACTTATTTTAAAATACAGTGAAGATTCTGTGAGCACAAATGTTGGGACATAACTACTCAACAGGACTTTCAGAATGGAGAAGAAAAATTTGGTTAGGGAACAAATAAAAGTCATCTGAATCTGTACTTCAAAAAAAAAAAAACCAACCTAAACCCATTGCCATTGATATGATGCAAATAAAACACCACCAATATAAAAATAAGTGTATTTCCAAATCTGGCTATAAGATCCATTATAGCTTGGACACTTGGGACTAATATTTGTAAGGCAAGAGGCCAGGTGCCCAACATAGTCTGATGCATCATATTAACCAACCTGAAGAGGTAAATGGCTAAAATGGCCCAGGATGACTGTCCGAGCTTCACAATAAGCAGGTGGGAAGAAGATTCTGAATTCCGTATTGCCATGAGTCTTGACTGAACAGAACTCATTAATATACAAGGTAAGGCAAAGTCTCTTCACAGATGGAGCTATTAGAGGAATAAGTAATGAACTTGGAATAGAAAGGTTAAGAGGACAAGTTTTATTTTACCATAAAAAGTAGCATACAGTAACATAATATTTTATATTGAAGTGAACACATTACCATCTTGCTCACTGACTCCATGATGACTCCGGTCTCACTCTCTCCTCTGATCATCTGTCCCTACCTCTAACTCTCTTCTAGGGAAATAGGTATTTTAATCTCCCGGAAGCTACAAGGTCAGATTGAGGGAGCTCTATAATGACAGAGGCTACTCTGAGTTGAATTCCACTCTGGGATGACTCTGAGCATCCAAACTTGGACCCTGAGACCATTACAAAGCCAAACTGAATTTGAGTCAAGTATAGAATCATTCTAGTCTCCTAGTATCCCTCCAGGGAGCTCTGGTAGCATAGTGCCTAAGACACTTGACTGCTAACCAGAAGGCTGGCGGTTCAAACCCACCAGCCACTCCTCGGAAGGAAGGTCGGGCAATCATACTTCCGTAGTGATACTGCCTCGGAAACCCAAGGAGGGGTCACTATGAGTCGGGGCCGACTCGACGGCAAAACAACAACAACAACAGTATCCCTCCAAATGAAGACTGATCAGACAGGGCTAGGGACAAGATCTATTCAGAAAGATATTCGTATCCCCTACCACACTCAGCAGATAGACATACTAATAAAAAATATGCTAAATGAATAAGCAGGTATTCATTTTAGCGAATCCTTTCCAAAAACCTCTTTTCCAAAAGCAAGCACTTGTCTTTTACAACAGCCGAATAATTTGGTACATACGGTTTCTAAGAGCCTGTATCTAGACCTACAGCACGCTCAAGACCATATGCTAAGGATATAAAGACAGGTGCCAATAATCAACATTATAAAAATTTTTTAAAATGAACTTGAAAAGTTATTATCCCATGTAGACTTATTAACCCATACTTCCTACACATAAATGTACTGGGAAATCCTTTGTGAGCAAACAAATGCTTTCCAGGGTTATGTAATCAGATTAACTCCTTTTTCATTGAGGACCCTAGGATACCAAGCATATATAAATCTTAATCTATTCACCAAATGCAAGTTAGTCTATATCCGTTTCCAAGGCTTTCATCAGAGTCAGTCTAACTTTTGAGATACTTCTTATCCTAGTCTATTTCAAGTATTATTAATAGGCCACCTGGAGCTTGTTATCTTTGACGGTGCACCTCGTGGTCTAAGCAAAGGCTGCCAAGAAAGAAATGTTTCTAAGTCAAAAGTAACACCAAGGCACCACAACTCATAGTGCAAATCATCTACTGTAACCTTGGAAGTGAAGGAAAAAAAATCATCCCTCAGTGTCAGTTGCAGGATTTCTTCCAGTACTGCCATGAAGATAATGCACAGCTGGTCAAACGCTCATGGCCAAAACAAAGGACAGAAAGGAAGCAATTATCCAGATAATTCTGATCACGCTTGTATGACAGACAGATATTTTAACTGAATTATTCAGATAAGTGTACTAACCTCCATTTTATAGTAGGAGAAGCTACTGGAAGTTCCAGTCTCATATTTTGAAAATAACCTTATTCAGACCATGGAGAAACATATAATTCTGTGGGAACTAATTTGTACAAGAGTTCCTGAGCCAAAGCCTATTGTCTTGATTCAAAGAGATAGCTCTCAACAAAGAGTTTTGACTTCAAATCTTTGAGAAGCTTAATCTTTAGCTGAATTTGTCTAGTGTGTTGTGATGTTACCACCTGATCAATTAAACTCATTGCTAGTCCTATCAATGAAAGGGGTGGGGACAGAGGATGCCTATAATGCATTTCTTGACATTAAAAAAAAAAAAGAAAAGATTCCATAGCTATCACTTTCTTCTCCTGTTTCAAGAGATTACTGAATATGGAGAGCATATAAACTGAGAGAAGCTGCACTTCACAATCTAGGGTGGCAGTGCAAGAAGGAAAGGCATAAAAGAGGTCAGGCTCAGGAGAAGGAATTAGTCAGTGGTTATCTGGTACGGAAAGGAGCGCTACCGTTTTACCATGAGGGTCCTCAAAGTACACGCTTTTCTCAGGACATTATCAAAATGTTTATGGTAAAGCCCAGACTCAGCTAGCAGAGTCACCTTAAAGAAACAGGATTACTAAATTACTCTAAGAAAACTGTGCTTCCATAGAGTAGTAATTCAATAAAAGGACTATATGAACTACAAGGCTGGATTCTATTTCTTTATCTTCTGTGGACCCATTAAATGACTTCCTCCAGAATGTAGATCTCAATCTCCCTCACATCCAAAATACAGTTGAAAAATAAGAATTCACCTCCCCAGAAGTTTAGAAATCAAAAGTAATAAATGTAGCTGACTTAGTTTCTATCTTACTTTATATTCTGCTTCTTCGTAGGTGGTGACACAGTGGTTGGCTACTACGAAAGGATCGAACCCACCAGCCCTCCATGGGAGAAAGAAGAAGCAGTCTGCTTCCATATTTACAGCCTTGGAAACCCTATGGGGGCCATTCTACTCTGTCCTATAGGGTCACTATGAGTCAGAATCAACTTGATGGCCGTAGTTTTTGGGTTTTATAAAACTCTGGAGGTCCATGAATGGCTCAAACAGTTTGCAATTGGCTACTAACTTAAATGTTGGTGGGCCAAACTCACCCAGTCGCATTATGGAAGAAAGGCCTTGGCAATGTGCTTTCAAAAACATTAAAGCCAAGAAAACCCTATGGAGCAGTCTACTCTCTAATACATGAGGTCACTATGTGGTGGAATCAACTCAAGGACAACAGGTTTATAGAGCTCTGGACTTTAAGCTTGAAAATTCCGTGACTAAACGCAATCTCTCTCCTTTCTAATCTTGCACAAATAACAATTTTGCTAAACTTGTTTCAGCTGTAAAATGGGAATAACAGTATTACCTGCCCCATCTACTTCAAAGGTTCACTGCTGAGACTCACATGAGACAGGACATGTGAAATACTCTGTTAAACAGCAAAGTACTACACAAATGTTGGTTGCTACCTTACGTGAAGCACTGTTATGAGCAGACCTTTTTTGGATATAAATAGAATTAATAGAGGAGACAGTTTCTTCATCTGAAAGAGAAGGGTTGCAAACATGGTGAGCAGTAATGTTAAGCTATTGGCTAATATATTAGGAAAGTGGTTTGACATAAAGTTGAATCATTATTTAGAAGCGGATTCCCATGCCAACACATTCACTTTGCACAGACGGCAGCAGAAGAAAAATAAGAAGGATAAAGAGTGGGTGTCCAGCTCTCAGCTCACCAAAATAACTGATGAAGTTCCATTTGGGGAGGTGGAGTTGGTTATGACAGTCAGTATAAACAGATTACTGTTGCATAAGGAGAGAGAAGTAAAGGTGTTGTTACCAAGCACAGAGCTATCAGGTCATCCTCAATCCATATATTATAGATATATAGATATATAGCATGTGATTTCTATAGAGGGCTTTAAAATATATATGTTGTTGTTGTTGTTATTTGCCGTCGAGTCGCCCCCGACTCATAGCGACCCCTCCTTGGGTTTCCGAGGCAGTATCACTACGGAAGTAGGATTGCCCAACCTTCCTTCCGAGGAGTGGCTGGTGGGTTTGAACCGCCAGCCTTCTGGTTAGCAGTCAAGCGCCTTAGGCACTATGCTACCAGAGCTCCTAAAATATAAAGGTTATTCCATAGGTATCAAACAGACATAAACGATTCAGTTGGTTGGTTGTCCATAGGAAGCCCTTTGAGACATGTCAGCACTGCTGAGGAGAAAATAAGACACCCCCAACAATGAGATCACGGGTGCTCTAGAAGATAAAAGAGACACAAACTGGTTTGGAAGCACGACAAATAAGCCAAACAAGAAGTGTGGTTTCAAATACTTAACACAATATAAGAGTTTATTCTTTACGTAATATAATTTATTTTATAATAGAGACACAGAAACAGAAAACTGAATTTTTGAAAGGGCATCAGATAAATGACACTGTCTATGCATACAGGCGCACCAACAAGAGAGAAGTGAAGATGACTGATCTATAGGGATAACACCAGGGACCAAATCTCCAGTAACCATGACAACCCAAGAAGGTGGAGGGAAATACAAACACTGACCAGGCAGCTGGGTGACACTATTCCTTGAGGTACGGACCCTGGGGTTAGAAAGAGATTTGATTAACGCAGGAAGCTGATTAAGAAGGAAACCCGCTACTCCAAAGGGACCAGTGTCCATGCAGAGGGGATCGGCAGTGATACTAGTCCTCTCTATGGTGTAGCTCGCAGGTGTCATAGGCTCATCTGTAGGAGACTGGGCGCCTATAAGAACCAGAAGGGAGTTAGTTACCTGGTGAAGGGCTGTCAAGCCGTCCACGTTGACGGTGTTGATGTCGGCGCCCCTAGCCAGAAGCTTTTTCACCTCATCGGTATCCCCGCTAGAACAGGCGGCCAGGAAGACAGCACCATCCTCGAAGCGGACTCTGGGGCTCCCGGGTCGAGTCTGCGATTGCCTTCCCGCGCCTCGCCGCTCCGCCGGCTCCTGTTCAGTCTGCGAACCCCGCCAGCGCCGAAGCTGTTCAGCCCGCCGCATTCGCGCTGACTCTGCCCGCTTCCCGCCTATGTGTTCCAGCTCCGCCATTGCTCCAGCCTCAGCAGCTGTTGCTGAAACTATCGTTACTAGATTGCTGTTGCTGCTCCTGTCGCCGCTGTCGCCTGCCTCACAGCGTTTCAGCCAGGAGCAGAAGGCGGAGACCCCTGCACGGCCATCTTTACTCCTCCCGCCACTAGCACCACCCGCACTTTCTCTCGGCTTCAATACGCAGGCGCTGCCCGGGCTCCAGGTCATCACGGGACTTGTAGTAAGCCACCCGCCCTAGGGGCAATCTGTGGCCTTAAGGGAACTACAAATCCCTGGTTGCATCAGAAAAGAGGCGAGGTCCAGCTGTTCTCTACTTACCCGCGGGTCCCAAGGAGGTCACCTTTGCCCTAAGCTGGAATTGTGTCCCGGACTGGCGTCAGCCGCTTCAACTGAGCATTTTGGGAGTGGTAGTTTTTTCTTGTTATGACTACTACTAATTTTAGCACCTAAACAAACAGCATTCCTTTGACTGGGAAAGGGGCAGTAATTATCCCTATTTTTTAGTGGAACATACGGATAGAAAGTACCTGCAAGGCCCGAATCCATGTCCTGGTTCTACATTTAGTAAATGTAAATAAATGTGGGTGGGAAGGAGCATACATACAAATACAATATTGCACATTATACATACTTTTAACATGACACTTCTGGGCCCAGAAAATACCTAGAGAAAGATCTGTCAAAGTATAGTGGAAAGAGCCTGAGCTTTGAAATCAACATCCATGAATTCACATTTCTGTGTAACTTACTCCAAGCCTATTTCCTCAAGTGTAGAATGTGAATAGTAATATTTTTCAGGATAGTGAGGTAGATCAAATGACATAACATATGCATGGATACCTAGTATCATCTCTAGCAGGTATCAGCTCACAATAAATATTAATTTCTCTTCTTCCTCCTGCCTCCTCCTCTACCATCTTCGTGGATCTTCAATTCACAGGAGACAGAATAGATATCTTGTCTTCCATGATTTTTTTCCCCCAGAGCTACAGAAAGATAAATTAAGGAGCATACTAAACTCCAAAGGCAACAAGTAAGACATTTTCATATTCACCATGAGTTTGGTTAAAACCTATTTGTCCTATTGATGTAAAACCTACTTTATTCCCCCTCAAGGGCTCTGGTGGCATAGTTCTTAAGGCACTTGACTACTAACCAGAAGGTTGGCAGTTCAAACCCACTAGCCACTCCTTGAAAGGCAGACTGGGCAATCTATTTCCATAGAGATACTTACCTCAGAAACCCAAGGAGGGGTCACTATGTGTTGGAACCTACTCCATCACAGTGAGTTTTTGTTTTTTTTTTTAAGGGTGGGGGCAAACTCCTGACTGCTGCTTTAAAAAAAAAAAGGAAAACTGTATAAAGCTGTTTATTTTACAGATATATGACCTTCTAAAGAGGATTTTTTAACTGGGGTACATTTGCAAGGGCAATTATATTTTCTTTGGCTGTATTCTTTTTTTTATTCAGAATCAGGAAAATATAACTGGTTCCAGTGGCATCCAAAACCAAAACCCAAACTCACTGCTGTGGAGTTGATACCAACTCATAGTGACCCCTCCTTGGGTTTCTGAGGCAGTCTCTCTATGGAAGTAGATTGCCCAGTCTGCCTTCTGAGGAGTGGCTGGTGGGTTTGAACTGCCAGCCTTCTGGTTAGCAGTCAAATGCCTTAGGCACTATGCCACCAGAGTTCCTAAATCTAGATACAAAACCAAAAAACTCACTACCGCCCAGTGGATTTTAACTCATAGCCACCCCTCTTCGGGTTTCTGAGGCAGTATCTCTACAGAAGTAGATCGCCCAACCTTCCTTCCGAGGAGTGGTTGGTGGGTGTGAACTGCCAGCCTTCTGGTTAGTAGTCAAATGCCTGAGGCACTTCGCTAGCAGAGCTCCCAAATCTAGATAAGCTGTGTACAAATAAAATACAATTTTTGTACTTTTAATTGTACTATGTGAGTCAGGTGTGATGTGTTCTTTTATGAAGAAAAGAAACTTTTATAAAGTAATAATTTCTTATGCCCCACTTTAAAAAAAATATGTGATCATACAGTGTTTTTAAAACCAAGGATATCTTTATCCTTGGTTTTTAAAACCAAGGATATCTTTATCCTTGGTTTTTAAAACCAAGGTTTATGAATCTTTCAGCTGGGCCTCTATTCCTACAGGTTAACATACCTCCCTCTGGTGGACAAATGGAAACTGCACCTTTAGCACTTGAGGGTTTTTTGTTTTCTTCAATCTTTTCAATTTAGTTGCCAAAATTATAGTTCTTTGCTTGCCTTATCATACCATCCCTCACCAGACTCAATAGAGTCTCTGCATTTTCTAAGAGACGTATTTAAAATCTATCTCTCAGAGAACCACTCAAGGAAGTAGTCACTTTCCGTTCTGAGAACAGAACTGAGGTAAAATTATTGTTAAAAGTAGGAAAGAAAATAGAGAAGAAATTGAAGGGAATAAGACAGAGAATATCATTAGTAAAAGAAGTAGCAAGTCCAGAATTATGAAAGAAAACGCTTTACTCCAATAAGTAAATGCTAGCAATAAATGCAAAACTCTATAGCACTAACTGGAAATTAGACTGCACAGGAACAGGATTCCTTATGTTTATAATTCATAAGGTACTTTTAGTTGGTTCGTTTTTACAACTAATGAGAGGTACCTCAGGATAGAATCATGAACAGAGTTCTAGTGAATTTGTGGGTCTTTTGAGAGATTTTATACCATGCAGTGGTCATAGGGGAACCAGTTGCTATTTAACACTTGTTGTTGTTGTTGTTATGTGCCGTCGAGTCGGCCCTGACTCATAGCGACCCCTCCCTGGGTTTTCGAGGCAGTATCACTATGGAAGTAGGATTGCCCAACCTTCCTTCCGAGGAGTGGCTGGTGGGTTTGAACCGCCAGCCGTCTGGTTAGCAGGCAAGTGACTTAGCCACTGTGCTACCAGAGCTCCTATTTTGAACTAAATGTAGAAATCACTGCAGTGGCCAAAATGATGTTGGTTTACAAATTTAGGGAGGGAATGGTCATTACTCCTATACCACTATTGTTCTAAAGTCACAAAATGAGTTGAGAACACTGAGATGAGGTTGTCTGGTTTCTTTTCTTTCTTCTTTTTTTTATTTTTTTTTCCACTCATGCTGCCAGTAGCATTTGCAAAGGCTAGATGAGTTCCACCCATATCCTTTTGATTCAAGTCAGGTCAGAGCCATCCTTGGGCTCTAATTGAGCATTCACCTCTGAGAATCAATGTTGGCAACTATAAATAGGTACTTCCTTGGTCAGGAAGCATTTTTAGAGTAGGACCCAAAACCAAAACTAAACCCACTGCCATCTAGTTAATTCCAACTCAGCAACCCTATAAGACAGAGTAGAAATGTCAAATAGGGTTTCTAAGGCTGTAATCTTTATAGAAGCAGACTATTTCATCTTTCTCCATGGAGTAGCCAGTGGGTTCCAACCACTCACCTTTGGATTAGCAGCCAAACGGTTAACCACTACACCACCAGGGCTCCTTTTTAAGCAAAAGGGCTTAAAAGTCATCTCTTCCAAACTTCCTCCCAATGCAAGGATCCCTTTTGGCCTATCCCTTGTAAGTGATTACCTAACTTCCACTTGAACACAAGTTTACCTGTTTTGTTCTTCAGAGTTGTAATTCATAAATTATTGTATTGAGCTAAATTTTGCACCCCTTAAAATTTCATCCATTGATCTTAGATGTGTCCTGTGAAGCAGTGAAATCTTCCATGTGAAAAATAGTTAAATGAAGACAGCTGTCACATATTCCTTTCTCCAGATGAAATATTTCCAGTTCCCTTTATTGTTTCTTCTATGATGTTATTTCCAGCTCCTTCAATAACCTCCCCCAAAGATGTCTGTCTCAGTATATCAAACCAACCAAACCCATTGCCATTGGGTGGATTCCGACTCATAGCGACCCGCGTTGGGTTTCCGAGGTGGTAAATTTTTATGAAAGTAGATTATCCAGTCTTCGTTCTGTGGAGTGGCTGGTGGGTTTGAACCGCCAAGCTTCTGGTTAGCAGTCAAATGCCTTAGGCACTTAGCCACCAGCGCTCCTTTAGTTACCCTTTGAGATGAAGGGAGTAATCCAAATGAAAATTATCAACCATTGAGTCAGTTTGCATTGACTTAACAATGTATTCACTGAGCGTTTTTAAAGTTATGCGTGATGATAGGAAACCCACCCACAAGTACATTCATGGAAAGGAGTGTTAGTAGAGAAGTTATCAAGCAGAAATCATTATCTTTCTGCGGTAGTTGGGGAGCTGTCTTCAGAGGATGGCCTTACTCTCTTTACCAAACTCTCTTTGGGGAAGCCCAAACTAGGTAATCGAATTGGAAACTTTGAACCTAGGGCAAACTATTCCCATTTTAACAATCCAAAAACTGGTTCCCCTCGCAGGGTTGTGAGGATCGGCGATGAGATACATGAATAACTAGACAATGACAATATGTAAGGCATTGTTGTTGTTATGTGCCGTCGAGTCAGCCCTGACTCATAGCGACCCCTCCTTAGGTTTCCGAGGCAGTATTGTTGTTGTTATGTGCCGTCGAGTCAGCCCTGACTCATAGCGACCCCTCCTTAGGTTTCCGAGGCAGTATCACTACGGAAGTAGGATTGCCCAACCTTCCTTCCGAGGAGTGGCTGGTGGGTTTGAACCACCAGCCGTCTGGTTAGC